GTGTCTTACCCAGTAAAGGGTAACCTCTCTTCCCGGGTCTTGGCACCCTCTGCCCCAAAGCCTCTCTCAGAGCATCACTGCCTTGCACTTTGCCTGGGCCCATGCCCTCTTGCGCTCACTTGGCTCCCCGCGTCTTCAGGGCATTCCGAAGGGTGCTGCTCTGTAAGAGACAGCAAAGACAGTGGGTGGGTCCCAGTAGAGCTCATGAGGGCCAGTTAAACACTCAGTAGAGAAACACAGAGTGCTTGATGGAAAGTGGTCTTGCCACAGTGGAACTTTGTTCCTGGTCATGGGGGCAATGGGGAGGGTTGGCTGCTGCAGGGTTGATCGTGTCTGAAATGAGCATGAAGATGCAATTCACTTAGGAGGGTAAATGCATTCTACATTTAAAAGCCCTATCCTGGGGTGCGTGGCTGGCTCAGTCGGTTAAGTGTCTGCCTTCAGCTCGGGTCATGATCCCGGAGTCCTGAGATCGAGCCCCGCGTCGGGCTTCCTGCTCGGTGGGGAGCCTGCTTCTCCCTCTCCCTCTGTCTGCCGCTCCCTCTACTTGTGCTCTCTCTCTCTCTCTCTCTCTCTCTCAAAAAAAAAAAAATAAATAAATAAAAAAGCCCTGGGGCGCCTGGGTGGCTCAGTTGGTTAAGCGACTGCCTTCGGCTCAGGTCATGATCCTGGAGTCCCGGGATCGAGTCCCGCGTCGGGCTCCCTGCTCAGCAGGGAGTCTGCTTCTCCCTCTGACCCTCTTCCCTCTCGTGCTCTCTATCTCTCATTCTCTCTCTCTCAAATAAATAAAATTAAAAAAAAAAAAAACCCTATCCTTTTCCTTAAGGTTAACATGGGTGAGTGCGGGTTGGAGAGCTCCGCTGGTCCGCTGATGGCCGTGGGGCTGCATGTGGAGCCAAGGGCTCATGTGGCCCTTCTGATAACCATAGCATGTAGTCTTTTTTTTTTTTAATTTTTTATTGTTATGTTAATCACCATACATTACATCATTAGTTCTTGATGTAGTGTTCCATGATTCATTGTTTGTGCATAACACCCAGTGCTCCACGCAGAATGTGCCCTCTTTAATACCCATATACCCACCACCAGGCTAACCCATCCCCCCACCCTCCTCCCCTCTAGAACCCTCAGTTTGTTTTTCAGAGTCCATCGTCTCTCATGGTTCGTCTCCCCCTCCAACTTACTCCCCTTCATTCTTTCCCTCCTGCTATCTTCTTCTTTTTCTTTTTTCTTAACATATATTGCATTATTTGTTTCAGAAGTACAGATCTGTGATTCAACAGTCTTGCACAATTCACAGCAATCACCATAGCACATACCCTACCCAATGTCTGTCACCCAGCCACCCCATCCCTCCCACCCCCCACCACTCCAGCAACCCTCAGTTTGTTTCCTGAGATTAAGAATTCCTCATATCAGTGAGGTTATATGATACATGTCTTTCTCTGATTGACTTATTTCCCTCAGCATAACACCCTCCAGTTCCATCCACGTCGTTGCAAATGGCAAGATCTCATTCCTTTTGATGGCTGCATAATATTCCATTGTGTATATATACCACATCTTCTTTATCCATTCATCTGTCGATGGACATCTTGGCTCTTTCCACATAGCATGTAGTCTTGTAAAAACCTGGCAGTGGCTCACTGTCCTCTTTGCTTGTCCTATCTTCCTATCTTCTGGGAAACCCAAGCTTCTGGTGGTTACGGTAAAGGTCTGTCAGGGCCACTTTAGGTATGTTCATTGTCATGCTGTATGTGGTTTTGTTGTTGTTGTTTTTAGCTCTTGGGAAGCTGATGGGAGGTAGTAGCTAAGTCATAATGTGTAGAAGATGGATGGATTTGATTACAAACATGAGAATAATCCTGAAAGACCGTCCACAAAATTCATGGACAAACAAAAAGCTGGGATAAGATATTTGTAACCAAAAAACAGAGAATTAAAGGATTAAGATCCTTACAGAAATAAAGATTTATAAACACTGTAGGCAAAGGGCAGAAGGAGATAAACCACAGAAGAGTCTCTGTACTTGCTAACAGACATGGAAAACTCACGAGTCAACACATCACAAAATCTCTGAAAAATTATCCACTTGCGCAGCTTTGTGGTAGGGTTCCCAAACTTGGATGAGATGGATCGATTTGTCACTGGTGGCACCGCCAATTAGGAGAGTCTTTCTGGAAGAGAATTTCGTTTTATGACTCAAGAGCCTCAAAACTCTTCTACCTCCTTAGTCCTCTTCAGGGACTCTATTCCAGGGGTTTGGGGTGTGTGAAGGGTTTGTTATGCATTTCATCATTTGCCTGCCTCTCTGCAAACTTTGCCTTTGCTAGGAATTCTTTGTGTTGTTTTGTTTTGAATTGTTGTAAAACACTTTAAGTGAGAACACAAGGAAAAGGGTAATTTGGAGTGAAATCTCAGCTAGGGCTACAGGGAGAGCCTTCAGGGTTTTCTAAGCAATGTCCTTAACTTCCCCTCTGAGGACAGAAAGTCCTCCCTTTTATGTATTGGAAACTACGTAGTAAAATGGGTCCCCATATTCCTTACAAACTGCAGAGATGAGCAGAAATGGCCCGCTCCTCCCAGTTATTGTAAAGTGAAAATTATTTTATTTTATTTTTTTAAAGATTTTTATTTATTTGAGAGAGAATGAGAGACAGCATGAGAGGGAAGAGGGTCAGAGGGAGAAGTAGACTCCCCGCTGAGCAGGGAGCCCGACGTGGGACTCGATCCCGGGACTCCAGGATCATGACCTGAGCCGAAGGCAGTCGCTTAACCAACTGAGCCACCCAGGCGTCCAAGGGAAAATTATTTTAAAAGTCACAAAATTGGCAGTAAGTCCCATAGACTTATTCCTTTACGGAGTTTGCTTTGTCTGGTGACATCCATGTCCCTGCTTCCCAAACCGGAACATGTATCCCTTGCTCTGTGCTGCGGATCCACGTGGCACACCGGGTTGTCATTTTTGGGAGGAGGGAAATGTTTTTAAACCAGGGTTTCTCAGCCTTGGTACTATTCACATTTGGGGCCAGGTAGTTCTTTATTATGGGGTCTGCCCTGTGCATTGGGGGATGTTTATCAGCACTCGTGGCCTCTACCTGTTATACTAGTAGCTCTCCCCCAGTTTGATGACCTGGAAGGTCTTCAGACATTGCCAAATGTCCCCTGGAGGGAACATCACTCCTGGTTGAGAACTACTGCACCCCCCCCTTTTTTTTTTTAATTTATTTTTCAGAGAGAGAGAGAGAGTACAAGCAGAGAGAGCAGGCAGAGGGAGAAGCAGGCTCCCCGCTGAGCAAGGAGCCTGATGCGGGACTCAATCCCAGGACCCTGGGATCATGACCTGAGCCAAAGGCAGATGCTTAACCTACTGAGCCACCCAGGTGTCCCGAGAGCTACTGCTTTAAATAGATATGGATATGATGTAACCAAGAAGGCAAAATGTGCAAGAACATTTAAACCAAAAGAGCCCCTCAAACCACTTTGCTGTGTGCACTTGATTCTGTTCTACTTAAGGCAGGCAACGTGATGTTCTGGCAACGGTTTATTTTATTTTCCTTTTTTGTGCTCTACCTACTGAACTCCCAGATTTTTGTATAATTCCTTCTCTTCTTTTGTCTGTATTTCAGTTTCTCCCTTGGTTCATCCAGTCATTGTTGAATGAAAGAGTCCCTAACAGAGATCCTCGAACAGGTTTCCTACTTGTGTTTCTAACATCGAGTAGGTGTGACTTCACATTTGCAGGACAGCTTGGCTGGCTTATTCACTCTCAGTGGGACATTAATTGGTGCTGAGATATGACATGATTCTGATGAATGTTCTGTCCCTTCTCACCCCTACCTGCTTGTGGTATTTTTTTTTTTTTAAATGAAACTTTGGGCATCCTTAGACATGTTTTATTGTCCAGATGCCAACCCTTGTAGGGATCCTTTGTGTCCTCTCATTTTTTGAAGCTGAAATTCCCCAAATGCTTGTTAATTTTTGGGTGGATCTCTTTTATTGTCCAAGTCATACTTTTGTTTGAAATTGAGTTTTTAATTTTCTTCTTCACTGAAACTTGGCTGCATAGAATTGTTTCAGTAATTTCTTACTCTTGACTTTTGCTTATATTTTCTCTTAGCCCAGAGCATTGCACTTTTCCTCATCGACCAGTATTGGTTTCTCTGAGCATTCCAGATCCATCTTGCTCTCCTTCCCCCTCCTCCCTTATGTCCTGCCATTTTACCTCCCTTCCTTTTTACTTTGTCTTTCTGATTTCTTCTGTAGGTTTATGCTGTTATTCGACTGATACGGAATGTTTTGGCTCTGTGTTTTGTATGGCATTCTTCTAGCCCATTTGAAGGTCATGTTGACGCGTGCCTAGAACTTTGTGTGGTCATTTAATCCCAGGTTGGTTTCATCTCTCTCTCTCCCCTTTTTTTTTTTTTTAAATGCTTTTGAGTGCCTTCCTCCACCTTTAATTGGGCACCTATAGGGGGTTCAGAACTTTGATATCCAGGTAGTCATAGTATATTAGCTATAACTGCATTTACTGTCTGGTGTGGTCATCACCAGTCACATGTGACTATTTAAATTCAAATTGATTAAAATCAGATCCAAGTAAAAGCTGAGTTTCTCCCGCAGCCTCGTGGGTAGTGACGATTGGGCTGGACGGGGCAGCTGCAGCACATTTTCCTCACTGCAGCAGTTTCTGCTGGAGAGTGCTGGGCTCTGAGAGCTCTGCCATCCAGCGTGTCACCGGAATCACTGTGTGGCCTTTTCATCCTTGGACTTGGGTATTGCCGATGGCCCAGTTCAGCAGTCCTCCTCCCAGGGGGCGATTCAGGGTCTGCACGACTAACTGAAGATGGCGGGGTCTTGAAAAGTGTGATTAAGTAACGTGCTTTTTTTGATGTTTGGATGTAACTTGTACTATAACCAGCTTCTCTGCAGGAGATGCAGTGAATGTGTGTCCCCTGCTCTTTATGCGTTTGTGGTGATTTGGTGCTTCCTCTCTCTAGGTGCTAAGAGATGGCGGCACTTGTGGGGCTCTTCTCTGCCTGAGCATCGGGCCCTCCAGGCACCGGGAGAGCCGGCTCAGATCCTGCTGGGCTCCTTGCCTGAACAAGCCTCCTCTTCCAGCCCCGGCAGTCCAGCGGCTAAACTGCCCGTTTTCTCTTAATGATGGGCATCGGTAAGAACACCACGTCCAAATCCATGGAGGCCGGAAGTTCAACTGAAGGCAAATACGAAGATGAAGCGAAGCACCCTGGTTTCTTTACTCTTCCGGTAACTCTATTCCCTTCTTTCTCTCTGCTTGACTCAAGTAGTTTCCGTGTTGTATCAACATAGGATTAGCTTTAATACTCCTGTTTCAGTGAAGGTTAAGGCATTCAAAAACCAAATGCTTTTCACGTGAGATAGTCTTCTTGGGAACCCTGTTGGCTGACTAATTTTGGCTCTGCTGTCTGCTGGAGTCACCTGATGGGGTTAACTCCAGGAGGGAAGCCTGCATTGCTGTGAACATTGTACAGCCAACCAGCCAGCCCAGAGCTTACTGTGTGCTGGAGGATGCTGAAAGCTTCCTTCTAGCTCCAAAAATGTGTTCTAATGAAGTAACCTGAAACCCAACTTCAGACTTTCATTGCAAGGTAGGAGAATGAATGAATGACTCACCATTTGGAACCCAGAAGTCACGCTTTGTATTATGGCAGCAACATCCAAGATGTAGTTTTACCTGAATAAGTGTTACCAGTTAGAGAAGGCTGATTACACACATTCACTATGTTCAGGGCCAATACTTTTCCAGATGTAGGGTTATGATTTGATGTGTATAAAGGTACTTAAAGTGTTGGTTCAAAAAAGGAAAAAGCTCTTTAGAGAGAACTTGCCTCCAAATGTTTTTCTCTTAATACTAGACATGAGGTTAAGGGCAAGAATATCATTCTAGGACTCCTTAAAGCATGGTCCTGGAATTTGCCTCACTGTGGCATTACTCAGTAAGAAGGATGTGAACACCCGTCCTTAAGTACATTGACTTAACTAGCATTCACATTTTGATTTTTACCCTATTGATTCACAGAGAGATGTCCCACTGATTTTACAACAGACATAACTTTTCCTTCTTCCTATAAAGTGAAATTTTTAAATGGATTTTCTGTTGTGTTGAAGCCTTCGGGTTGACAGATTTTCTAGAGGAAGAAGCAAGGTGGTTTTCCAAGTTTAAATTAGATAGTCTTTGAAAAATGAAAAGGAAGGTTTCGTGCCTGGGTATTGATTTGTCTCTCCTGCTGCCTGAGAGCCCAGCACACCATTCACCCTCCACTTGAGAGACGAACTTGAGCTTGCCTTCCCTACCCACCTGCCTTGTCATTAGGGAGGAGAGTTTTAGGTTGACTTGTTTTCACGTTCAAATTGTGATATTCTACAGTTAGTTAAATCCACGGCATATACTCTCCATTTTCGTATTTATTCCCTGTTGTTGGTTTCCCTCTCTCTCCCTCTTCGATCGCTTTTCATTTAAAAAAAAACAAAACAAAACACTGAGGGTCTGTGAACGGTCACTACCTTTGTCTTTGTATATCTGAAAATAACTGTATTTTGCTCTCAACTATTGGGTGAACTTCTGTTAATGACACACTAGAGTTTACTAGTCTCTCTGTGTTTCTCTTTAACTGCTTTCTCATGGTTTGGATATCTTTTTCTAGTGCTAACTTCTGGATGGATTCCCCAGTGTTATTTTCCATTTACTAATTCCTTGTGAACAGTCATGTGTTTATGTTGAATTTTTGTTGCAGGGATTATAGTTCTTATTTCTGAGATTTCTATTTGGTTCATTCCTGCCTATTTTTGGTTCTTAATTTCTTGTATGTATGTGTTTGTGTTGTTTAAAAATGTTTCTTCATTTAAATCACCAAGGACCCTAATGTACTTATTTTCAAGTAATTCTCCAGTTGTTCTGTTTTCCATCTGGCGTAAAATCCTCTTTTGAGTGTTTCTTTTGAGATTTTCTTCCCTCTCCGGCCACCCCCTCTGCTCACCCGGCTTCTGTTGCTGTGGTTTTGCATTCTCCCTTCCTAGATCCAGTCCAGACCTGGGTCTTACAGTGGAGGTCTGCCTCGCTCCCCCAGTGGTGCCAACCGTGACGTGACGTGCTGGGCCCTGGCTTTGAGCACTGGACCTGGTTCTCATCCCCCTTGTTTGGGGGCCCCCAAGGCCCTGTCTCCCTGATGGAGCCGGGGGCTGCCTGAGTGAAGTCTGCAGGGCTCAGAGCCTTGCCAGGCCCAGTGTCAGCCTATTTGTTACTTTGTTTCTTGTTACAGAAAGGTTTGTCTGTTTGGGGTTTTTTCCCTCTACCATTATTTATAGGAGTGGGGCTGGGAAGGACTGTTCCTCATAGCATTAGCTTCCAGATCCATCTTCACTAGGAGTCCCTGCAAATACATGGGAGCCGGGAACGTGGACATAATGTGTAGTTGGGTATAAATACAATGTGAATATAAAGTGAGTTTACAGCAGTTTTGTTAAAGAACTTGCAGAGTGTTCCCCCACTGTGTCAGGCTATAAAGATAAGTATTAAAAAGAGGATGAAAAAGGAGTAATAGAGTTGGCCTCATGGGATCAAGCTGCTGGGAGGGGAGACATGCCAGGGGGAGGGGGCTGTGAAGGTCAGCACACGAACTGCCAGGATGACGTGGAAGCAGGCATGTCAGGAAGTGTGTTCACATGAACTGTAGAGCTTATGAGAAAGCAGAGGGCGAAACAGCAGAAGGAAAACAGATGAAAACAAGAGTCTATCAAAGAATGTTTGTAAAGAAATCGTTCATGTGATGGAATTTGGGGTTGTAGAAAGTTTTGTTAGGAAATATTTTGTAATATAAAAATAGGAACACTGTACTGCCCATATTTAATCACTAGTGAAATTGCTGCCCCTTAGAAAACTTAAAAGTAAGATAGAAGACTGTTTTGCATGATTTGCTTGTTAACAGGATAGTCTAGGGGGCTGGAGCAGAGCTGGTCTGTTTCCACTGTCCAACTGGTAGGATTATTTTGGTCACTGCCTCTCAGCTCTTGGGATGTTCCTCTGTGTCTCCCTGTTCCCTGTTCGGCCCAGAAGGTCTTAGACACTAATTTCATAGACTCTGACAACCTTAGAGCTAGAAGTGGCTGTAGAACTCACCTGGTGGTTCTGTGGGAAGGTGAAATGCAAGGATTTGCCCAAAGCATCTGGTTCACATGGTGTGTTAAGTAAAGTTTATATCCGTTGGATCCCACAGTCTCGGTCCCAGGTAACTCACCACTGGGTGGGCAAGACAGGAGCTGATGACAGGTGCGGTGCGCACTGACCTTCCGTGTTGGGCAGCTGGTCTTGGGGTGGTCTTAGGAAGGAAGAGGTGGGGGGGGGGGCGCCCGGGTGGCTCAGTCGTTTAGGCGTCTGCCTTCGGCTCAGGTCATGATCCCGGGGTCCTGGGATCGAGCCCCGCATCTGGCTCCCTGCTCGGTGGGAAGCCTGCTTCTCCCTCTCCCACTCCCCCTGCTTGTGTTCCCTCTCTCGCTGTGTCTCTGTCAAATAAATAAATACATCTTAAAAAAATCAAGAGTTGGGATGGTGGTGGTGGAGCTGCGGTAGCCGTGTGCTCTGGCAGGAGTAAAGGAGAAAAGGAGGCTCGGTCTCCTGTTCCCTCCCGCTACTTGTCCCCGGCAGCATCTGGCTGACTTGGTGATTCTGGTTGTGTTTTTGTTTTTTCTTGTCCTTATAGCATGGCCCCTCGGCGCACTGAAAAATTGTATTTGTCTTTTTCTCTACATCTGTGCTGCCCAGGGCAATAGCTGCTAGTCACATGTGGCTATTTAAAATCATTAAAATGAAAATCTAAAATTCAGTTCCTCAGTTGCACTGATCAAGTGCTTGATAGCCACAGAAAGTTACTGGGTAGCCCATCTCTTTTTACTGCTGGTCAACGCCTTGCTAGACTCTAAAATGCAGGCTCTTACTTTCATGTCTGCTTTGGAATCAGAAACTGGGGCTCAGGCTGTCAGCTTATCAAGGTGCTAGAGACAGCAGGGACCAAAGCTGGCTGCTCCTCGAACCGGGTTTGGGGAGGGTTTGCCGTTGCTGGCTGCCGAGGGTAGGGGGGTGGGCTTCGGTGGCCGTGTGCTGAGGATTTTATCATTAAAGATTTTCTTTGGCATCCTATGTTGGATGAGAGTTTCCTCAAATGTGGCAAGAGCTGATTTTTTTTAGAAACTCACATGGAAAGAATCAGTTTCTTTGTATTTTATTTATTTTATTTTTATTGTATTTTAATTTTTTTTAAGAGTGCACACGCCTGTGTGAGCGGGGGCAGGGAGGGAGAGAGAATCTTAAGCAGGCTCCATGCCCAATGCTGAGCCTGATGCAGGACTCGATCTCATGACCTTGAGATCATGACCTGAGCCAAAATCAAGAGTTGGACGCTTAACCCACAGCCACCCAGGCACACTGGGAATCAGAGTTTCTTTCTTTCTCTCTTTCTCTCTCTCTCGCCCTCTCGTTTCTGACCGAGAGAGAGAGAGAGAGGCAGCGAGAGAGGGAACACAAGCAGAGGAGAGTGGGAGAGGGAGAAGAGGGAGAAGCGGGCTTCCTGCGGAGCAGAGAGCCCAATGCAGGGCTCGATCCCAGGACCTGGGATCGTGACCTGAGTGGAAGGTAGACGCTTAACGCCTGAGCCACCCAGGCGCCCTTAGAGTTTCTTTACACAAAGTAAAACAAAGGTCCATGACAATACTTTAAAGCGAAAAAGAGTAAATCCATACATAGAAGAAGAATAATGAATAGGTCACAGTAAGAACAAGAGCTTTGCAAAGCCCCAGCATTCACAGAGGTTAGATCATGTGATCAGAGTTGATCCTAAATAAGAGAAACATAAAAAAAGATCTCCGTATTCCACGGGAATCTTGTTAGGCAAATTTGTGTGCTTTTAAAGACAACTAGGAAATTTAGTGTAATACGAGTGAATGCCACATGGCAAGAAATTAGAACCAGAAAAACAGCAAAAAGTCCTGAAGAACTGTCCTACCCTAAGGGCACAGGCCAGGAAGGACAACCAGGAAAAGGTCTGCCGTTCTGTGTGGAGAGCTCCTGTATCATCTGAACTTGGAGGGCTGTCCAGGGGAAACCAAGTTAATAGCCTGAACTTAGCGTTGGCAGAGGCCCACCAGCAGTACAGCCTGTTTCAGCACGTTGGCATTCCAATGCCAAGTTCACGGCAGGCAGGAGTGTTGAAGGTTCCCTAAGGTTTTGTGTCTTC